CTTCCTACCTTCCTTCCTTCCTTCCTTCCTTCTTTCTTTTTCAAGATTTTATTTATTTGAGAGAGAGACAGACAGAGAGAGAGAGAGAGAAGAGGAGCCCTGAAGAGGGGCAGAGAACAGTGACTCCCCAGTGAGCAGGGAGCCTGAGGTGGGACTCCATCCTAGGACTCTGGGATCATGACCTGAACTAAAGGCAACTGCTTAACAGACTGAGCCCTTCCCCACCTCCAGCCCCCAGGCACCCTAGATGTGAAATTCTTCGTTGAAAAATTTTCTTCCTTTAGCACTTCAAATGTAGCATCCCATTTTCTTCTGGTTTGCATAGTGTCTGAGAAATCTGTTGTACTTATTACCTTTGTCCCTCTAGGTTTTTGTTTTGTTTTGTTTTGTTTTGTTTTTTACTGGCTGCTTTAAAGATTTTCTTCCTTATCACTGGTTCTCAGCAAGTTGATTGGTGACTGTTAGGGGTGTGTGTTCATTTTGCGTAGGGTTTACCAAGGTTCTTAGACCTGTAAGATGGGGTTCTCATCAAGTTTGGGAAGCATCCCAGATATAAGGGAACGACTTCAAATTAGGCAGATGGGACAGTGTGCCTTTCATTGGAACAGCCATTAGCACAGGCAGGAGTGGATGGGGGAAGGAGTGGGGCTCCTGAGGCAGTGACTTGGCGCTAAGAGAGAGGATAAAGAAAGAGCCAAGGAACGGTGTGGTGTGGAAGGCTGGGGTGGAGACTGAAGTAGGGACGGGAGGAGAAAATTAATAGGGATAAAGTAATCCCTACTAGAGGTGGGACAGGAAGATGGAAGAATGATGCAGGAAGAGAAGGTCAACCTGCAGGAGAGAACCAGGTCAAAAAAGACCGAAGAGATTAAAAGGGCACACATCTTCGGAGAAAGGCAGCTAAGAAGGTCTGGATACTGATTCAGAGAAGGGAAGAAGAGATAGATAATGTACGAGTGGGTGAAGGATGAGAGGAGGGTGGAAAAATGGAAGAAAGAACCACAACTGGATGTTCAGAGCACAGTAGCATCCCCAGTGGCACCACTACGTGTAACCTGACTCGTCAGCTCCGGGAGTGGGGAGAGGGCGTCAGGGGGCAGAAACCGTGGACTTCAGCCCGAGTCTGGGGCGGCTGCCGGGGTCCCGTGTTGGAGAAGAGGCAAGGGCGGACTGACAAGATCACTACTCCTAGTCGCAGTCCTTGCTCGTGCACCCGCTTTTAGGGGATGTGCCTCTTTAACTCAGGCGGGAGGCCCAGGGGCGCACCCAGCAAGGCAGAGAGAAATGGCGGAGCAATGAGGGCCCTGGGGGCCTAGTGGGTTAGTGGGAGCACTGGCTGAGATGTGGAAGGTGCATGAAGCCCGCAAGCAGAAGGGCTGGCGGGCGCGGGAAGTGCCTGGATGCTTGGCCCAGGGTCGTAAGAAGGATGCAGGGCTGAGCGGACCGGGAGTGAAGGAGCGTAGGGAAGCGGAGGGATTGGGGAGATCCAGGCTTGGAGTGGTCTGAGCTGGAGACTGCGTGGCGGCCGCCCAGGAGTGTTTTGGGGGCGAGAGGTCGACCCCGACTAAATCGTCCCTGTGGCTTTTCTCTTCTGATTTCCTAGTCCTAGAAGCTGCGGCATCAGAGGGCGATGGGTGAGAACAGGTCTTCGAGGGGCAAAGGGGAGACCAGCGGCAGGCGGTGGAAAGGGCGGGCGCCGGCAGAGGGGCGGATGTGGTCTAGTCCCAGGCGGGGAGGGAGGACCCCAGGACACGTTTTTGGCCCTTGGATCCTTCCCCACGCCTCCGCTGCCTCCCCAAGCGCCAGCCGAGCGAAACGGGCACTGATGCAGCGCCAAGCCAGGGCTGGCCGGGCCGAGCGAAAGCGAGATGGAAGGGCGGGAGCCAAGGCCGAAGGGGCGGACGCAGGGTGGCGTCTCGCGCCCCATAAAGGGGCCGCGGAGACAGCGCTCTCCTCTGCACGAGCGGCAGCCACCGGCGGGGAACACGGCGCGATGCCCCTTCCCTGCCAGCAGAGCCCGGTGCTGGCAGGCAGCGCCACTCTGGCCGCCCTGGGGGCACTGGTCCTGTACCTGGCGAAGCCCTCCGGCTACGGGAAGTACTCGGAGAGCCTACTGCCCACCGCTACCCGCCTGCCCTCCCGCGCCGCCTGGTTCCTGCAGGAGCTGCCCTCCTTCGCGGTGCCCGCGGGGTTCCTCGCCCGGCAGCCGCGCTCGCTCTTCGGCCAGCCTGCGACCGTGCTCCTGGGCCTCTTCTGCGCACATTACTTCCACAGGTAGCGTTTGTTCCACGCGGGCGCGGCGCCCGGCCAGGTTCCCGGGGTCCAGGAGCGCGGCGCACCCGGCATCGCAGACCGGAGCGCGGAGCCGCGTTCCAGGGTAGCCCGCGGCGGGGCAGGGCTGCGGGCTGGACGCCGGCCAGGAGAGAAGCCGTCGTGGGGCAGATGCCTCCCGCACTTCCCCAGCCCCGCGCTCCTCTCCCGCCGGCTCCAAACGCTCTGGCTGCTGCGGGGAAGGAGATGGAGCGGGAGGAAGACTAGCCGGCCGGCTCAGGCTGGGCAGACTGTTCTCCTCCCCAATTCCGCCCGCGCCGCGACACCTGCGGCGGCTTGCCATCTCCTTTCCATCTCCCTTCCATCTCCCTTCACCTTTCCTTTGCAGGGCGGGGTCAGGCTGGTTCTGGGAGCCCGAGAGAGTCCACGTCTGGGCATCTCTCGGAGAACACCCGGCTCAGACGGTCGAGAACTTAATCTTTGCGGTTCGGAGGGAGGTGGGCAGAGTCTGACACGGACTCCCACCGTGGGAGAGAGAACGGGATGGGAACCCACGGGCCTGAGCGAGAACCCTACTTCTCAGCACCCCTCCCCGCAAAGGCGCGGCGCTCGCCACCAACTCCTCTGCCTGGCCGGTTCCCTGGGACTTAAGCGGGAAGGAGTCGAAGTTAATGTAGAAATCAAATGCTCCTAATTTAAGAATCCCAATCAAGAATCCAGGACAGCTTTGCCTTCTGGTCTAAGGAAAGACTGGAAAGAAATCAAAAGCTCTAGAAGAATGACTGTAGACCCTCGAAAAAGACTCCCAGGGGAAGGGAAGAATACCTGAGTGTAAGTCGCCTGTAGTGTCCAGGCAGTTGTTGTAGCCCCAGTGTAACCGTGTGAGATCTGTGTTGATGTTGCCTGCTTTGTAGACTAAGAAACCGAGGCTGAGTGAGGGTCAGTGACTGAAGGTGATGCAGCTAGTGCCCAGCCACGTTCCAATCTAAGCCCGTGAAACTCCACCGTTCAAGACGTGTTCATCGCCTTAAGCAGGCAGAAACTCCATGCAAGAAGAGTCTATGACAGAGAAAAGTTGCCACACCAAGTCAAGAAGAACCAGAAGCACAACCTTATTTTGAGTAGAGAATTTCCAAGATCAAAAGATCTAGGAAATCTAGATTAGAAATTAAGGTAAAGAATGCTGGCAGCTGAAAGGCACCGTTCTTTTTCATCAGGATGCCTAATTTCAGGAGAAGTTGTAGAGAAACAAATTTTAACCTGTCTTACCTTCTGGATCTTCTTTATTGGTCAAGATTTCATATTTATGCAATGTGAACCAAAATTTCATTCTTTTAAAAAGATGAGTATTGGCAAGCAATAAGAACTAAAATTTCTGAAATGGGTGTCCTTTCTGCAAATATATAACAAAAGTCTGTTGTGGACAAGGTGCAGTCTTAATGAACAACCATATTATCTTACCCAGATTTAAGTGGCTTAATTTGTACAGAAAAAAAAAAATATGTTGGGTGCAGGAATTAAGAGACTAACTTTTCATTTCACAGTTTTTGGAACCAACTTTTGACAAAAAACATGATTCTATCAGACTGTTAGTTTTATCTTAAAATAACACCTGTCAGTACCATAAACAGTATTTTTATGAGGTCATTTCATCTTAAAGTAATGATTAGTGTTTTCTGATGGTCCTATTAACATAATTTTCAGACTTGTTTTTAAAATTAAAAGTCACTGTGTACAATAAATGATGACCAATCAGTACATTAAAAAAAAAAAAAGAAAACAACCAAGGAAGTAATTACCCATAAAATGAGTATCAACATACTGTCCATCTTCTTCAGAGGAAAATTTAAAATGTAAGTTAAGGATTTTGGGATTGATTCTGACTGAGGGAAAATTGCCCACTGAATTTAACTGTTTCTGAGACATGAAGATGTGATGTTTGCCCACCTTTCCCCCTTGTGTGAACTCTTTTTTTGAGGCCACTGGAGTACTGGATCTGTTATTTTGAGTGCTTATGGGTTATTATGCTCTGCTGAACACTTTTTGTGAATTATCTACTAATTCTCATACCAACCTATGTAGATAGGCACTATTTTCATCTCCACTTTGCAGGCGACAAACTACAGGGAAGAAAGGTTAAAAAATCTGCCCAAGGTCACACAGTAACTTGGGGAACCATGGTTCAGACCCAGGGGGTTTGAATTCAGATCTCAGGCTCTTAGCTACCAAGATAAACTGTTCTATACTTTTTCTTGCCTCCTTGTCTTTGCCTTTTAAAAAAACTATATTTAGGCTTAAAATTATTATTTTTTTAATTCTGAAAATAATAAATGTGGACTTAAGAAAAAGAAGAAAATAGAAAAAGTAGGAAAACACTCATAATTTCAACACCTAAGTATATCAGTGGTTAATGTTTTGGACATTTCCCTCAAGGCTTTGATTTTTCTTAGTAGATTTTTATACAGGCTTGTCATATTGAATATATTTAGTTTTGTTCTGCTTGGTTACCTAATATTTTTTAATAAGTGTTTTCTTTCATTATCATTAGAATCTTTGTAAGTACAATCTTAATGTCTGCATATGATTTCATCTCATGTAAAAACAATAATTTACCTATCCATTAATTTATAGTTGGACATTTAATTTGCCCCCTTATTTTGTAGGGGGGAAGCTAGGTTAAAGTGCATTTTTGCAACCTAAATTCTATTCAGAAGTTAGGTGTGTTTTTCAGTTGAGATTTCCAGAAGTAGTTCAAAGCCTATGAACATTTTTTTTTGAGGCTTGAGGAGTCGTGTGGCTTGATAAATGAGGGTACATTAAGAAAAAAGCATCAGGCCCTCTTCTGTAAATTGCTGTGACACAGAGACCAGGATGAAGAGACAAGGGATCAGGAAGAAGGCTGGCTCAGGTGTGGCTTAGACTCTTGCAAAATGTCCTTTCAGGACTGTTCAGAACAGCAGTATGTTCTGTTGGATAGTAGTTAAAACTCTGCGCTTTTCTCTGTACAAAGGTGCCTCCCCAGAATTTAAGTTCCACAAGGCCAAGGATTTTTGTGTCCTCTCTTCATGATTGTGTTCCTAGTGTATAGAAAAGCACTGGTGCCTAATTAATACTCACTACATTTGTTGAATGCATGAATGAATTCTACCTCTGACATCGGTACAGGCGGTTGGATTATGGGAGAGCCAGTGATTACTTAGAAATCACCACTGAGATTGCATGGCTAGGTCAACTGAGATAATTCTCCTCCCTTCAGAATCTATTGTTGTGAATGTTCGGATGGTCTAGCCACATGAAAATGATTGCTGTGTAAGCATGTTGTCTAATCCCACTGCCAAAGTTGTTCGAAGTCAGAGTTATCTCTTGTTAGCCTTGCCTGCAGCCCTGGAATGATCCTTTGCTAACACTCTCTGATTGATTTTCATTTTCCCAAGAAGTCTTTGTGTCTTGTGCAATGACCATCACACCACCTATGCCTGTGGCAGTTGATGTCTCTTTCAAGACTTGGATGTGACCTTGGTATTTAGCTGAAGAAGGAAAAGAAACATGTTTTCACACAAAAAAAGGAGATTTTATTGTGAAAAGTTGCTTGCGGAGTGACTTTTCATGATGTGTATCCCGAAGCACAGTGTAACACACACGTTAAAGTTGGTCTAAATTCAGATCTTTTCTGGGGTTTAGATGTTGAAACAGATGACATTTCCTAATTAGCCAAGTAAAATGATGGCTTCCATAAGATGCATTTTTGCTTTATTGGGTAGTTCATTCTCCAGCAGCATGAATTCTTCCTTATTCTTCAAAACTCAGATCAGGATCACTTCCTCCAAGAAGCCGTCTCTGAATCCCTTCTCTGCTGTAAATCCAGGTGTGATACCATTCCTTGGGCTTTCATAGCAGCCAGTGTGGCCTTCTAAGATACACTTTACACTTGGGACCGTAATTATCTGCTCTATGGAAACTCCATCTTCATCTGTCCACCTCCTCATTTTACAGAAGTAAAGCACCAGGAGGTTTAGTCAATTAGGGGCAAAAAAGAGGTTGGAATTTGAGTCCCCTGATGCACCTCGTCAGTGCTTCTCCAATCTCGTAAGAGATGCCGATGTCTGAACTATTCAGAAGTAATCAAACCTCATGAAGGAAACAAATGGATGGTTGCCCGAGGAGGAGGTGGGTAGTCAATGGGCAAAATGAGTGAGGAGTGAAGGGGAATGGGAAATATAGGCTTTCCCTAACAGGATGACTAAGTCACGGGGTGGAAAAGTGCAGCACAGGGAATACAGTCGATGGTATTATGATAGCATCATATGGTTACAGACGGTAACAGTGTGGTGAGCATAGCCTAATATATAAATTTGTCAAAGCACTATGTTGTACACCTGAAACTAATGTAACATTGTGTGCCAATGATACTTAAATTAAAAAAAGAGAGAGAAATGTGTTTTTAAATATAAAACAAACTCATAAAAACTAAACAAACAAACAAACAAAACAAACAAAAAATCCCTCCAAAAACCTCATGAAGAAAATTATTCATTGGCTAAGAATCAGAATATTGACTGATGCTTATAATGGAAACCACCTAGACAAATTTCTTTTCTTACAGATTGAGATGCAGGATGAGCCACATTCTTGTGGTTGCTTAATTATGTGTTAAGGACATTATGAGGCTTAATTTGATCAAGTAGGATTAACTGTAAGATTCTTTAGCATGAGGGTTAGCAAACTTTTTCTGTAGAAAAGCCATACAGAGGCATACAGAGAACTACTGTTCTCTGCTACTGTAGCATGAAAGCAGCCACAGATAATATATGCACAGATGAATGTGGTTGTGTTCCAATAAAACTTTATTTACACAAACAGGGAGTGGGCACTATTTGGACTATGGCCCACAGTTCTTGCCAGCCCCTCCTTAAGAAAACTGTGAATGGCATAGCTTTCTAATTAGTAAATTGATGCATTCCTGGCAGTACTATAATAAAATTTTGTTAAATCCTGTAACAAAG